AAATAGATGGAAATCTCCAAAGATTTTTCTTGGCACAGCACAAGGAAAACATTGAAAGAGTTTGCAATGCTTCATGCACTCTCCAAATATGCGTGCATCAGTTGTTTCTGCTTTTCACCAGATTCAATGAAAGTCCTGAAAAACATGTATCCAGAACTTGCTCTTCAGCTTTTTTGTTGTTTTCACCAGTTATCAATAGAAACAGCTAAGCCTTTTTCAAGTAGTGTGTTACTCCCTGTAAATGCCCTTAGACAGCTTCAGGAATTTATTCTCCTTTTACTGTGGTACAGAGATCAGTAAGAGCCCACCCAGACTCTCAGTCTGTGAGCACCAGAGCAGCTCAGTCTCGTCCTCATAACCTCATTCTGGCAACTAGGTATATCAATACATTCTAGACCATTTACACCCCTTTCCACCTGGATGTCTTATATTAATTTCCCTCCTGAGAATCATGCACACCCTAGCAACAAGAAGATAATATAAAAATCACTATTTTTGTATGTCTTAGCTCAGGGAGAAAGGATGTGTGGTAGCTGTATAGTAAGATTGTACCTGAAAAATGGATAGTGGTATGTTCCTCCTTTACACTTAGCCTTGCCTTAAAAATCAGTCAAAAGAACAACTTTCAGTTATTCTAGTTTTTAAAGTAATTTAAAGAACACTAACCCTCAATACAAAAGAAAAAAAGAAGTCAGTGCTTTGGTCCAACCATTCCCACAGCTTAGAAACTAATTACATATCAGTTAACATTTATTTTAAAAAAAAGTATAGTACACACCCCTAGCATAAATAACATTAAAGCTCATAAAAAAAGGGATACAAGAATTGCAAATAGAATAGCTCACTGCAGATAGGTTCTCCATAAGCTGCAAGGTACACTCTTGTTTTCACCCTTTTTAGCTCAATTCGTTCTCTCACCTTTCACTTAATATAGTCCTTCAGCTGTGCTGACATGATGAGATTCTGCTGGGATGCTGTTAGAAAGTCACAGGGACATCCAGTTGACAATAACAAGCATCAGCAGGAGCTGAGAATGTGCTTAGTTCTACCACCTGCTGTTTTGTCTTTTCAGATCCCTTAGACAGTGGGTTCTTCTCTTTTCTTCCTCATCTTATGCAAACACACCTTAAAAATGTGGCTTGTCTATATTCCCCTTTCTGTCTTACCCTGGAGTGTTACAATTAATTTTCAATTCATCTTCACCTTTCCTGTGAAAAGGTGGAGTCCTCACGTAAAAGGACACTTTTACATAAAAATAAGGTTCTGCTTTAGTTGATACTTTGATTTATTGTTTTAGGAGTCAGCAAATTTATTCATCTTCAGCTGAAGATGCCTGCATCTGTCCTTGTTATGAATTTGGTTGCTTTATTTCACTTCTCTCCCAGTTCATTTTAATGTAAAAATCTTAACACACCTGCGATGTGTTGCTCATTGCTAGAAGAAATATTT